TACCCTTGAAAAGAGAGAATATTCCTTCATCTCAAAAACACATAAAAAATGCAATCAAAAATTATATAATGATAAATAACCACAACAATAATAATGGCTAACACATCTATAAAACTTCAAAATGTGCCAGGCACTGTTCTAAGCACTTACAGATTTTATTTTCTTTTAGTCCTCATAAAAACCCTACAATGAAACTTGAGACACAGAGAAGTTAACTAAATTCATGTATACAAATAGAATCAGGATCTGAACCTACACAGACAGTCTGGCTCCAGAATCTATACACTCATTAACCTATACTTTAATAAATCTCTACAAGTAGAAATAATGCAAATAGACATATACTGTGATCATGAGACAATAAAACTAGAAATCAAGAACAGATAATCCCCCCAAAATATTTTCTTAACCATATGGGAATGTATAACCTTCTTTAAAAACTGTTGACCTAAAGAGGAAGATAAAACCAAAATTATTGGATATCTAGAATGCAGCAATAATGAAAATACTATATATCAAAATCTGAGATACAGCTGAACAGAGTTCATAGGAAATTTCAAAGCCTTAAATATTAACACTTTCAAATAAAAAGTAAAAATAAATTAAGCAACCAACTCAAAAAATTAAAGAACAAAATGAATTTAATGAAAGAAGAAAGAAGAAACTAGTAAAAATAAAATCAGAAATTAATTAAATGGAAGAGAGGACATTACAGAACCTAAACTTCAAAAAAAAAAAAACCCCAAGAGCTGATTCTTTAGGGGGAAAATAGACAACCATTACCTAACTTAACAAAAGAAAAAGTGGAAATGAAAAAAAGCATGAAAATGAGAATGGGAACATAAAAAGGACAAGGAAACTCAAATATTTGAAAGATTAATTTGCTTCAGTCTATGCAAATATGTTTTTCAAACCTGAGTAAAATAGATTATTTTCTAGGAAAATATCCAAGAAAACTGGCCCCAGAAGAGCTAAACTAATAGACAAATCACTATAGAAGAAATAGAAAATATCTAGAGCTATCACACAAAAAAAGCACCAGGTCCAGAGAGGACTTCACCCGTGAATAAGCCATCACTTTAAGAAACTCGATTCCATTTAAACTATTCCAGGGCAACGGAGAGGAGGAAACTTCACAAATACTAAAACAAAGCCAGCAAAACCATGGGGGGAAAAAAGAGAAGAAAATACAGATTAATCTCTCTTATTTGAAACACTGAGGCAAAATCCTAAGTGAGATAGCAGTGATAGAATCTAGCTGTAGGTGAAGTCCATACCAGAAGCAAATGCATGGCTCAATACTAAGAAATGTATGAATATAATTATATAATTCAATCTAGGAAAATGTACCAAGATATATGGAAAATGAATGGCATTAAATAACTGTCTGAAGGACTAAGAAAAATGAAACAGAATATCATAGCATTAAATCTTTAGTATCACAGAACTAAAATTCCAGGCAATATCAACACAGGGGCAAGTAGGTGAGGAAGACCAAAGGGACATAGCAGTATGAAGTATTTGTCTTACTCGAGAGAAAATGCAGCTCTCAAGCATCTCATTCCTTCGCACCCACATTTTGGCAATTTACCCCACTCTCTTTCTCTGCTGGAGTTGCTCTGTCAGAGCTGGAGACAAATATTTAGGAGAGAAGAGGTGGAGAAAGTGCTGAACTGGACATAATATTGACATTTTACACTGGACTTGACTGTGGACTATACCTGAGATATTATTAAGGGACCAGAAATAGAGGCTCCACAGAATATTTTTAAGGCAGTGATTAATGGAAAATAAAACCATTTCCTGTCTAAACTCTAATGAGTTCAGACTGTTCATTAAATGGTGGTGATTTTCTGTGCAAAAGCCATAACCCTCTTTCTCCTTGCTGACGGATTGGTTTCATTCCCATATGCCCCCTTTCTCGCAGCCACATGTTTTAGGGGAGATAGACTCTTTTGAGGGATCAACCACAAGAACTCAAAGCCAATTGAAATGATCCATTCTCCTTCCCAAAGACTGGTTCAAGCATGGACATGTGTTGCAATTCTGGCTAGTGGGATACAAGGAAAATTTTACCATAGAAAGATTTTCCTTTCTGAGAACGGTTTTCCTTGATCTTAAAAAATGGCACAGGTAAAAGATAAAGGTCCTTCTTTCTGTCTCACATTCAAAATTCACTGAGAAGGATCTCATTGACTCAGTCAGGAACCATCCCGTGTGGACCAGAAGTGGACGGTTCTCTCAGCCAGGCCTACTCAGAGCCACTGGTTTTCTTATGTCCAGCCTGTTGATGGTTGCCTCTGGATAAGTCCCAGACTTCCTCACCACACAGGAATGGCCAGAGTAACAGGGTCATCTGACCCAAAGCCCGCAGCTTGTGTGCAGACAACTACTGTGACCTCTTCTCTCAGAAGGAGCAATAAGTGTGGCACTCGGACACCTCTCCAGCCCATCCTTCCCCTGCACCTGAATCCTTAACTGAGCCCATGGGATGAGGCTGGACTCTTAGAGGGAGAGATGGTGGAGGGTGGAGGCATTTCAGATCAATAATAAGCAATTTTTTAGTATAAGTGTGTGCCATTCAATGTTTGAGACATACTTCTAAGAAAAAAAATGATTCACTGTTTACCCAAAATTCACACTTAACTGAGTGACTTGCCTTTTCATCTAGCAACCGTACCTGGGAGAGCAGGGACCAGATTTGTTTTGCTCAGTGCTGAAGCTTCAGTACCTCTATCGTGCCTGGTGTATAGTAGGTACTCAGTACTTTCTTGTTGAAATATTTATTTGTTGAAGAAGGCCTCTCAGAGCTCTCTCACTCCCCACTCATAGAAATAAATCCCCCAGGGCCAGCTTTGAACAGGCTAATTGACTCATTCAATTTACCTGACTGGAGCACTTAGCAAGTGTTAAGATCTGTGCTAAATAAATTGGGGCACAGAGATAAATAAACTATGGCTCTTGTCCCCAGAATGGTAATTGACCAGTAGGAGCAATAGATCTAAACAGAGAATTACAAGAGAGTATGATTAATGCTAGACATATAAGGGCCAAGGCCAGGGTCAGGTAGTTTTCCTCATCATTTTATCTCCAAAACTTGCAATATGGCAGGCCCTTGGTAGTAGTAGGATGTGATAATGAAAAGATGAAGATATGAGCAATGTATGGAGGGACCACAGAGGTGAGCTGACCAACCAAGGAAGGTGGCATGGTGAGAAGGTTGGGTTCCCTTCAGGGAGAAGGCGACATCTGACGTGGATCGTGATGTGGGAACATGGCAGGCAGATGGAGAGGAAAGAGCATTCCTGACAGAGGAACAGCATGAGCACAGGTTTAACACTTCAGTGAGTCAGGAGTGATTCACAGGGGTCAGAGGAGAGGTTGGAGAGGGAGAGGGCCTTGAACGCATGGCCAAGGGGTTTGGGCCTTATTCTATGGGTAATGGGTGGTCATTAAAGTAGTAGAGGCATGACCTGAGCTTCAGGAGATTCCTCCAGCATTAGTGCAGGGGATGGACTGTAGTGAGGTCGACTGGAGGCCAGAAGAGCAGTGAGAAACTACTGCAACAGCCTCACCTGGACATGAAGGAGGCCAACACTTGTGGGTCATTAGGGGTATTAGGAAGTAAGCCTGCAGGGCTGAAACCATGTCCTGGAGGACTGGCTGTGAATGCCCTCCTCTGTCCCTGCCCTGTTCCTAAAGGCCCTGGGCAGTGGGAGGGGAGGCTGGCCAAGGGGGGAGATCAGGGAAGAAGGGGAGGTGGGAGGAAGCCCAAGACAAACTTCCTTCATTTCAGCATCTGGCCTAAGGAGGGGCAGGGCTGGAGCAATTGCAGGGTGACTGCCAGCGCTTGGGCCCTTCCTCCCGCTGCCAGAGGGCACAGAAGGCTTCACCCTGGATGACAGAACCCAGAGCTGTCCGTGGCATGCAGGTGGGACCGCGCCCTAGCGGGACCCTGTGAAGCCCAGAAAGCCTTGTGTGTGCTGAGGACAGGCGTTCAGTTGCAAGGTGAAGCAGCCCTCCCCTTCCTTCCTGGAAATGATCCAAAAATGGACTCCAGATGCTCAGCAAAACTCACACCAGAGGAGGGCACAGGACATGAACTAGTTTAGCCCAGGGGCCCAGGACCAGGCCCCCAGTCCTAGGTGCACCCCACCGCCTCTCAGATGCTCCTTGAGCATCCCACTGCTCCTTCATGCCCACTTCTAGAGTCACCAGACCTGATGTAGAAGCCGTAGAGTTTGGAGTTAGCCTGAGCCTGTGTCTGAATCCACCCAGATATGTGACCTTGTGCAAATCACTCATCTCTGTGAATACAGATTCTTTGCTTGATAAATAACACATACCTCACAACCATCATGAATTAAATAAAATATCCCATGTGAATGAACTGAGGACAGTGCCCGGCACGTATCTGGAATTCCTGTAACTGCCTCATTCCTTCATTCCTGAACTGACAGGGAGCTTTGTCTGTAGCCCAGAGGACAGCCTAGTCATTCCTTTATTCATTCACCCTACTGATATACTTTGGGTCCTACTATGTGCCAGGTGCTGGAGAAACAATAGCAAGCAAAACAGATACAATCCAATCCATCATGGAAGTTCCATTCTTCTGAGGGAGATAGATATTAATTAAATGATCATACAAATAAAAGTAAAATTATACCAATAATGAGTGCCATAAAGAAGGGCAGCTCACACCCACCTGGTTGCTCCAAGGACTTCCAGAGATGGGCGCTAGGGCAAGCACACCCTTGGCATGGCCTGGGGCCGTGCTGGGGGCCTTTCTTTCCAGGTAGCTGGTTTCCCAGAAGCTCCAGTTCCCAAAAACAAATAGGGAACTTGGGAGGGGAAACCTGGAATGCTCCCAGATCCAATCCTGACCCAGGTTCCCCAGATAGTCCATCCCTACCCCAAAATAAATTAAGTCCTGTCAGGCTGCTTCCTCAGCAACACTAAGCAGCCTCCCCAGGGAAGACGGACCCTTCTACCACTCCACCATGAAATTCTTCATCATCCTGCTGCTGGCCAGCTTAGCCTCCTCCTCTCTTGCTGTCCTGAATGGTGAGTCTGGCTTATATCACAACCCCTTTGTCCCTTAGAGGACATTGAGCTTGTCAGCTGGAGAGACCCGAGTACGAGGAAGGCTTTAATGTGTTGTGTGGAGAGGTAGGGAGATTCAGAACCAAAAGTTCACTCCTGGATGACTTCAGTGTGGAGACAGGGGACTAACACACATGACCTCAGGAATCCTGTACCCTAGAAAGCCTAGAGCTGGAACCAGAGGGGCCAACTGGATCCAACTGAGGGTGGACTATGGATCAACAGAGTCAGATTCGATTCCAGCCTCTGAGGACGCTGGACACCCCAGGCAGAGTCTACCCTTCTTTGGACCTCCCTGCCTCCCTCTGTACAATGAGGGCAAGACACACACACATTTTTTCAACAGCTATTTGTTAAGCACCTACTTTGTGCCAGACACATAGTTCCAAGCACTTGGGATACACTAACAAAACACAGAGACCTCAGTCATCATTGAGATTACATTCTAGGAGGAAGAAAGAGACAATAAGCATATTAAATAGACTACACCATATGTTAGAAGTGCTAAGAAAAACACAGAGCAGGATAAGGGAGGTCAAGAATGCTGGGACAAGCGGGGGTTACGTAGGAGCATCCCACAGGCTAAACAGCTTGAGACTCTTATTTTCCAGAACCAGAAGATGAAATCTACTTAGAGGCTCAGTTTATAGATGCTTGTAAGTCTCATGTTAGCGTCCTTTAACGTACGTTGGAGATAGTAAAGATTGTCCAGGAGATGATGAATTCTCCACCAGACAGAGTAGTGGAGCACAGACAATCCCTCCTGTCAGGCCTTAATCCTTCCTACTGCACTAATTGGCCAAGATCTGAAGGCCAGGAACGATTTGAATGGCACTTCATGCTGGGCAGTCCTTAGAGGCGGGAGTGGGGACATCTCAGACCCAAATGCTAGCCGGTGAGGAGCTTCAACTCACCCTGAGATGAGGATGCTGGAGGGGCTCATCAGTCCCAGGCTCTGTTCCCAGCAGCCCAAAAGCCATGAACATTGCAGGAATCCACTTGGTGGATTATCTGCGAACATGTAAACAAGCTCACACTAGCTTCTCCCAGTTTACCTGGGAAAAGCCAGAGAAGGCAGACTCAAGCAATACCCGGAATTCAGAGGAAAGGAACCAATATTTGTTGAAGCTCTTCTCTGCACCAGACAACAGGTTGGGTGTTTGCATAGTTCATCTTTTTATTGGAGAGGTGGATTTGTTAGAAGTGGAATTCCTAGTCAACCACATTCAAAATCAGGGATGTGCCTCTCAGATTTGGGTGCTGGTATGGGATCCTCCCACTAACTGGGCAGTGACTCCACCCTGACCCCCTTCCCGTGTTAAGGGATATGACATGGTGGCTACTCTTACCATGAGCTCTTTCTCTGCTCCTTGCTCCCTCCATCTCCTTGGTCCCAGCTGCCCAGATTATCCCCAGCAGCCTCCCTAGAAAAGACCATGTCTCCAGTGAGGACATTTCTAAGGAGCCTTCCATCTCCAGAGAAGAGCTGGTTTCTGAAGAGGATGTGATCAAATCTCCCAGGATCCCAGAGAATCGACAACCGGATCTGCTTCACTCCGTGCTCCGGAAGGCCAGTTTCGGAAATGCTGCCCTTCAGTTAGAAGAGACTACAGAACTCACTGCCAAGGCTGGTAGGAGCCAAGGGGGAGCGGAAGGGGTTGTGGAGGCATTTAGCAGAAAAAGACAGCAGCTGGATGCTACCTCAGGGGAAAGAGTGGGGGTGAGGAGAGAAAGGAGGCTGCAGGGGAACAAGAACCAAAGGTAAATGAGAGTCAAAGGACCTGTAGATCACCTGTGCCAGCACTGTGGAAGGTCAGTGCCAGAGTGTGGGGCAGAGGCGGGGTCTAGCCTTACCCTAACATTTCTCTCCCATTATTCCCCAGCAACCACCTCAGAGGGAAAACTGGCCAAGATAGGCCATAAAATCGGAAAAAATCTGGACAAAACAGTGAAAGAAACCATGAACTATCTGAAAAGCCTCCTCCCTCATGCCTATGAAGTCATGAGGTCCTCATGATAAGGATGCCCGTGGCCCACAGCACCCACACTCTGCTCACCCCGACCACCATCTCAGCCTCTTGCATCCCTCATTAAAGTGCTGCATCCTCAGCTGGCTCCGTGGTGGCTTTGTTGAGCCAGGAAGGAAGGCCAAGAGGCCCCCACTCTACTGGGACCCTTCCTTAGTTACCCATCCCTTTGATTTTAAGCTTCTCCTCTTCCTTCACTTACAAACCTGTTCAAGTCTACATCCCACAATCCCCTTTGTGAAGTCTTGACCCTTCTCAAGCTGCCCCTCCACCTCATCAGTGCCCGCTGCCCCCACGCTCCCTTACCCCCGCCAGTCTGTTCAACTGGTCCCCCAAAAGTCATCAACCACAAACCCCATGGCTGTTTCCCAGTCCTGGCTCTCTTCACTCCCTCTGTAGAGCTGGACACAATTATCCCTTCTAGAAACTTTCTCCTCGCCAACCTCCCATGACACTGCACTGTCTGGTTCTGGTTCTCCAAGCTCCCTGTGCCTCCCCTGGCGGTCTCTGATGTGCACCCTCAGCTCCCAGCATCCTATCTTGTGCCTTCTTGTCTTCTCCCCACACTTCTTTCTCTACACCCTCACCTGCCAAGACTTCTGCTCCCCTCAGGGTGGATGACTCCCACTTACCCAACAAAAATCCACCAAGTATTCCTGTGTCAGACTCCTCTACCTAATATGTGCCAACCTCACCCCAACCCTGGCCAGTTTTCACTATAAAAGCATGTGGGACTTAGTGGAAGAAGACAAGCACGGGAAAATAAAAATCTCTTCCTTATAAATGGAGGACAGGCTGTCCATTCAAGGGTCCCCAGTTCCTGGCACAGGGCTCCTAACCCTTGTAATTTCCTAATAAGCACACTAGGAGCATCTCTTGTTCTAATATTTGGCCTTTGACCTGTCCTTGGCACAGGGCTCCTAAAACCCTTGTAAATTCCTGTGAAAAGAGCACCAGGAGCACCTTTTGTTCTACTGAGTCAACTCTGGGTGGGCTCCTGGACAGCCCCTGAATGGGGCCTGGTCCCAGAAAGACCGAGCCATGATTAGAAGCCTGGAATTTTCAGGCCCATCCCCCCACAACTTCTCCAGAGAGGGGAGGAGCCTGGAAATGGAGTTAATAATTGATCACGCCTCGATGAGGAAGCCTCCATAAAATCCCAGTAGTAGGTGTTTGGGGGAGCTTCCAGGTTGGTGAACACGTCCTCATACCAGGAGGGTGACACACTCCAACTCCACAGGGACAGAAGCTTCTGAGCTCTGAGCTTCATCTGGCTGTTCTCCTGTATCCTTTATCATGCTGTTTAATAAACTGGTGAATGTGTTTCCCTAAGGTCTGTGAGCCACTCTAGCAAATTAATGGAACCTGATGAGGAGGCTATGGGAACCTCAGATTTACAGCTGATCAGTCAGAACCACAGGGGACAAGCTGGACTAGCAATTGGCATCTGAAATTAGCGGGGTGGAGGACAGTTTTGTGGGACTGAGCCCTTAACCATTGCGATCTCACATTATCTCCAGGTAGACAGAGTTAGAGTGAGTTGAACTGTAGGACCCCAGCTGGTGCTGCAGAATTGCTTGTTGGGAGAAAAACCCCACATATCTGGTGACCAGAAGTGTAGTGTTCTGGGTGAAAGTAAAGAAATACTCACAGGGAGAAACCTGAGTCATTCCGATTCAGGAGCCATCTCTGATTTCTATTGCCTTGGCCCCACGACATGTGAAAAGATGTGCTCAGAAGACCCACAGAGTAACCAACCTACTGCCACGAAGGGCTGGTGCTGTCCTGGTCCAGGAAAACCTGGAATTGTGTTCAAAGCTAAGACAGACAGAATCATCTCCTTCTTTCCTTTGCTTTCTCCTGTATAGAAAGTTGTCACCTGCCCACTTTCCTTAGTTCACCCATCCTCCCCTCCAATACAAGGGCATACAACTCCACCCAAAACATCTCCCAACCTAGGAGGAAAGTTCTATTGGGGATCTTTCTCAAGCTGCAGCTTGAGAACGGCAAAAATCCTTGCCAAAATGACAGAGAAGGAGTAATGGGAGATGATGAGGTTCAAGAAGGAACTAAAGTGGAAGTTTCCTGAGAATATTAGATTAGCAAAACCAAAGTGTCTTAGAGATTAAAAACCCCAGACTCATCCTTCTGACCCTCCCATTCAGACATATACTGAAAATAACATGAGGGTCATTACCTAATGGGGAGCAAAGCAAAATACTCACCTTACTAATGGCTTGACAGATGTGCTGTAAACCCAAAATGTGGGATTCTGTAAAGCTGGATAAGAGATCTCAGGCCAAAGGGGCCTCCTGCTCTCACCCTGTGCCCCCACCCCACCCCTGCCCGATCCAGGAACTGAACAGACACAGGGCCGGAGCAGCCACCCTCACTGTGAGACCATCTCCGTCCCACACAGGAGAGTAAGCAAGGCACAGACAGGCAGGCCAAAAAGTATTCCCCCTAGCCTGCTCTCTAGTGGGGAGGGGACAGCAAAGAGGGAAAGCCCCCAACACAGAGCAGCCTCCTCTTTTCTCAACCTTTGGGCTTCACAGGTCACTTTGAACCTGAGATCAACCGCAGGTGTGGCCAGAGAACACAGAGCAGCCTCCTCTTTTCTCAACCTTTGGGCTTCACAGGTCACTTTGAACCTGAGATCAACCGCAGGTGTGGCCAGAGGGATAGCAGAGAGTGGAGAGCAGCATATTGGGGCGGTGTCTCCCACTTTGCAGACACTCTGCCATTTGTGCCCTATCATATGGCCCACTGCTTCTTGCAGGTCCTACTTTGTGGCAGGAAGAAATAAGAAATAGATGTGCAAATAGGAAATGTGGAAATAGGTTTCCAAATGCTTTACACATATTAACTCATTTAATCCTTGCAAAAAACAAAAAGATCGTTATCCCCATTTTCAGATAAAGGAAGTGAAGGAACAGGTTCTCACCTCTGCCTTTGTCTGTCTTCTTGGAACCAGTGGGGTGGCCAGTTTGCTGTTGCCCCCAAAAGCCTCTGAATTGGGTCCAGACAGGACGCTAATTAACTACCAGATTGTTCTGTGCCCTTAACAGTCACACTGCTCGGTTCAGCTAGCCTATGGGTCACAAAATAAGCACTACCTGGCAGTACAAAATGTCAAATAATTCAACACTAGCAACAAAAAAAAGCCCTAAATTTGAACCTTAAACCCTCTTCTAATTTTAAAAATAACAAAGAACAAAATTTAAATACACATTCTTTTAAATAGAAATAGAAGGAAATGAAATTTCTGAAAATCTTCCCTTCCCAGTTTCTTATTCTGCTCATTGTTAGCCAGTCCTATACTGCACAGGACTCCTAAGTATGTCCATTTGCCTAGACAGCCCCATTCCTAAAGAGTATCCATTTCCCACAAGGTCATTTCTCTATTTCCCCACCTGGACAAACTCTGTGACCTCTTGGGATGGGCGGGAGAGAGTGTCCTTTCTGTGGCTCCAGCTGTGTGGCAGAATGAGGTCTGGATGTGAAGGGAAAGGGTTGGCTCACACACCCTCCCTGTAACTTCAGCCTCCCAAAGAGTGGGTAGGGCTTAGGTCCCTGCTGCTCCCTCCTGCCTGGCCTGGAGCAGCTGCATCTCCAGACCTCTAAGTGTGACAGTAAGGGGGCTGTGGTGAGGCCTCAAGACTCCTAGTGATGAGGAGGGAGGAGAGCCGGCAGCCCGGGGAGCGCCCCTGAGTCAGGAGAAAAGCTGTTATGCTGGGAGGCAGGGGATTGGCTACATCCTGGTCTTTTCCCCGGAAATGTGGCCAGTCCCTCCAGCACCTCCAAAGCTGACTCAGTCCACCTCTGAGTGGCTCAGGGCTGCTCTCCTCCCAAGTCAGGGGAGCGGGGACACATAACACCCCGGAGCCAGCTCCACACCAACAAAACGTGAAAGAGAAGCATATTCTCAGGCCCCAGGGCAATTACAGGCCCAGGCCCAGAACCTGGTGCGAAGTTTTTTGTGGGTTGATTCTGACTTTTGGTTTTTTTCGTTTTGCGGAGGTGAGGGTGCTGCAAATAAAACTTAAATGAGAATTCAAGATGTAAGAGAAATGTTGTGGAGGGCTGGCTGTCAGCCACAGCCGCCCCAGGCGTGTGTGCCCCACAAAGGTCCCTGATGGCGCTGCTGCAGGATGGGCCTGTCTCTGTGCTGCTCCTGAGCCTCATCTTCAGGGGCAGCTCACGGCAGCACCAGGGGCAGGAATTCGGCTTGCTCAGTCAGGGCAGAGTGCAGCTGGGACAGAAGAGGTGATGGCAAGCCATCTCAGTGGCAGTCTCCTCCTGAGATACGAGGACACTTGAGCCCAGCCAGAAACGAGTTGATTAATGCCAGCAGAGTGCCACAGCAGAAATTTAGTGCTATATGTGAGAAGAGAGAAAACCTTGACTTCGCCTCACCGGGATGCCCAGAGACTGTGCCAGCTCTTTGGAGTTCCCAGCACGTGAACTTCAATCTTAACTGGGAGAACTCTCCCACAGAGAGTTTAATTTGGGCATTAAGCTTACCACTGGGGAGTAGGCACACATGCCTACTGTGTCTTCTCTCAAAGTAGGGTGTTTAAGACATTTCTGTCATCTTTGAAATCTAGAAATTTAAAACAAAATAGTGAAAGGACAAAAATTAGCAAGAATGTTTGATATCTTGATCTGGGTGACAGTTACATGAGTGTGTACACATGTCCAAATGCATCAAGCTGTACACTCAGATATGTGCACTTTACTGTATGTACCTCAATTTTTTTTAATTTTAATAAAAATAAAATAATGCTCCCAATAGTCCCAATTTAACTCAGAAGTAACTAGATTATTTCTTTCCTACTGAATTCCCTTTGTGGGTGTTTCTTCTCAGTAACTACATGGAGGGCCCTAACCACAAATCCCTGAGCATGTCCCCTCAGGGTGTGGGCAACACCAACCCCTCACCACCAAATAACTGCCTCCCTTGGAAACTTGCCTAATAATACTCAGTGCTGGCCACGAACCCTCCCAGTCTTTTATGCCCTCACACAAAT